CCATGTCTTGTGTCGTCACCCCAAAAAACACATGAACTCTCTAGTAAACGTGCATCGCTTTAAAAACATGGATAAGTTTCAGCTCAAAACAGTGTGCATCCATCCTATATTCACTAACTCATGTCTCGTCTCATCACCCCAAAAAACACATGCAGTTTTTTGTAATCAAACAAAGTGTGCGCTGCTCGTCCCCTCGTCTACCTGTTCTGAAATTTGATCTCCTTCATATTGCCGTACTCAACTCGGCAGTGAAGACTTGTCAGAAATTTGCGGCTCCTGTTTTGTATAGATAACTCTGGATTCCAACTTCCAACAACTACAACAATCAGCAGTTTCTCGTCCGTTGCGGGGCGTCAAAGTGAGTGACAGGACTAAACAGAAACAGGACATCTGACAAATTTAGTTTGTAGTTAAATAAAACACCTTGTTCTTTGGGTGAAATCCAAATTGTTGTTATATTGGTTGTTTTAGTTTTATAAGAAGCTTAACTCCATGCCTCGTCACCCCAAAAAATCAGCCAGGAGTAAAAAGAAACAGCAAATCCAACAAAGGTTCAGCACCACATAGTTCGTAGTTAAATAAAACACCTGTTTCTTCGGCTGAAATCCCAAATGTTGTTCTGCTGGTTGTTTTAGTTTATTAAGAGGCGAACTCAAAAAACACAAAAACTTTCCAGTAAACAAACACAACGCGCAGCGCTCATCCTCCCTCCCACCCCCACTGAAATGTGATCTCCTTCATGTTGCCGTGTTAGTCCATTTATAAACATAATATAATGTTAAAAACATAGTCCACACAGGACAACGATGTACGCAAATGCAGGTTCAGACAGTTTGAGTTTCAACAAAATGGCTCATCTTTTCGGTTTAACGTTAAGTACAGAAATGAAACAGAAATTAAGCCAAACACAAAATTATAAATCAGTCACAAATTCACATCAGACTTGAATTTCTGATCTTCGTACGTAATAATATTAATTCCTAATAAACATAAACCCTTGTCTGACTGACCTTGAATTCTGTATTTATGTGCACGTTTAACTCCAAGAAAATAGGGTATTAAATAAACGAGGATTTCTACTTATCCTTATTTTTTGGATCCCCATTATCACCTGGGGTCCACACACACACAGTCATACACACTTGTGCACAATGTGACGGATAAACGCAACAAACAAAACAGCTCGTCTTTTCGGTTTAACGTTAAATACGTAAACAAAACAAAAATTAAGCCAAACACAAAATTATGAATCACATCAGACTTGAATTTTTTAATATTTCCATAACTTACAGGCTCAATTCACTTGTAGCTCCTGAAATGTTTGTAGATACTGTTTTAACGCAACTTTAAAACGATCCCTAATATTCTCTTGAACAATGTTCACTAGCTGTCGCCTTGATTTTCTGTTTTCGGGTGCAGATTTGGTCGATTTGAGTCGTTAGTTTGTAGCAGAAAGACGCAAAAAGAAATATGTTGGTGGAATTTATTGCTAAAAAAGAGGATATATTAAGTAAGTTGCCATCTTTGCTGTATTACAGATGTGTTAACAGATTTGATAAGTTGTGTAGACTCGTATAAAAGTGTAACGTATTTATATATTTTTGTTTGACGTCTTTCTTAATATTTATTTCTATCAAAAGCTAAACAGTTGAACAGATAAAGAGCATCTGTTGATTTTGTAGATATAGACGAAAGAACAAAGTTTCAGAGACGTCCGACAGGCTGGACCAAACCTCCTGGGAGCTGCTGTCCTGTGAACGCTAACAAAGGAATTGTTGTTTGACTTTCTGAACTTGTTTAAACTCAAAGTGACTCGTTTCTATTCTTTAGAGACAGATTGTTTTTAGCTAACTTTAATGTTGCTGGTGTGTTCAGTAGAGATTCAGGCACTGATGAATCATGGTGGTTGCAGCAGGCTGCTCACAGGTCGGTCGATTAGCAGCAGCTCTGTCAGCTGCAGGATTGGAGGCTGTAGTTTAAATAAAATGTCTTCAGTTGTTGTCTTCCCGACTCAGGCTGAGTGGAGGCCTGCCTGGCTCCCTGGGCTGAGGCTCTCTGGGCCTATTCTGGGCGAGGCGAGCCCACCACCTACACATCCTGCAGGGGTGGAGAGAGGCATGTGGTCCTCCCAGCAACCCGGGCCTGCTGACTGCCACTCCTCTGTTAGCGAGGCCTCCGCAGGGCCTCACATGCACATAGGAAGAGTCGAGAACAAGCCTCCACTTTTTTGTTTTTTTTTTCCTCTTCTTCTCAAATCTAAGGTGGCAAGCGACAAGTATTTGGCGCGGAGTGGAGTGTTTCTGTGCTTTGTAAGGGTGGAGAGTGGAGGCAGAGTGAATGACAGCGGAGATAATTGCTAATCTGACAGCAGAACACATATCGAGAAAAAGTTAATTCTCTGGCTGCTGTCGATGTGGAATCTGCCTGATGTGTGTGGAGACGCAGTTTCAGCTTTTTATTTCTGTCTGCTTTCAACCAGAGTGTAACACTAAACTACTGCAGCCGTGTAAGAGGCAGCTGCGTCGTCTTTAAAGGGACAGTTCACCTTAAATCAAACATATTTCCCCTCTTACCTGTAGCGCCTTTAATGTTTACATCTCTCGTAGGTGAGTAGATGCCTGCTTCCTTCTGCAGGGTGATCAGGGTTGGGTACCCTTCACATTGAAACCGGTACAAGCACCCTGCTGAACCCTTTCTCGGTACTTACCCTCCTCTGTAATCACAAAAAATGTGTTTTGAACAAGCTGCAGGGGTGACATAGGAGACAAAGACGCACCTCTGCTCTTTTCCAATCACACATAGTGGCTCCATGCTGCGGCAGACATGTCGTGCCGTGACTGTGTCCCATGTATTTTGGTCCTTAGATTTACGATGACCGCACATATCACTTACCCTCTTTCCACCCCCTTATGGGTGGCCCTGACTGCACCCGCCAACCGTATCACCACGCAGAGGGAGTCATGTATCTACTGCTAGCTCACCTAGCATCACTGAGCTAGCTAACGTTATATGCATGCCTCCTTTTTTGCGGTGATACAACAGGCGGGTGTAGTTCGGTAGACAGAAAGTAGTTCCTACATGAAACTGCTCACAACTTGTGCACCTGATATCTCAAGAACTCCTTTAGGGAATTTCTTCAAATTTGGCACAAACGTCCACTTGGAATCAACAATATAATGACTAGAATTTAGGGTCAAAGGCCAAGGTTGTTGTGACCTTGTCTGTGTCATTCATGTGAACGTGGTATTTGAGTAACGCCTCGAGGGATGTAATATTATTATTATTATTTGTATTTTGTTTTTATTTGGCACAAACGTTCCTCCAGACTCAAGGATGAACTGATTGCATTTTGGTTGTCCAAGGTCAAAAGTCAAGGTCACCGTGATCTTGCATCAGTCTCATTCTTGTGCACCTGATATCTCAAGAAGTCCTTTAGGGAATTTCTTCAAATTTGGCACAAACGTCCACTTGGAATCATCAACATAATGATTAGAATTCAGGGTCAAATCCAAGGTTGTTGTGACCTTGTCTGTCTCATTCTTGTGAACGTGGTATTTGAATAACGCCTCGAGGGATGTAATATTATTATTATTATTTGTATTTTGTTTTTATTTGGCACAAACGTTCCTCCAGACTCAAGGATGAACTGATTGCATTTTGGTTGTCCAAGGTCAAAAGTCAAGGTCACCGTGATCTTGCATCAGTCTCATTCTTGTGCACCTGATATCTCAAGAAGTCCTTTAGGGAATTTCTTCAAATTTGGCACAAACGTCCACTTGGAATCATCAACATAATGATTAGAATTCAGGGTCAAATCCAAGGTTGTTGTGACCTTGTCTGTCTCATTCTTGTGAACGTGGTATTTGAATAACGCCTCGAGGGATGTAATATTATTATTATTATTTGTATTTTGTTTTTATTTGGCACAAACGTTCCTCTGGATTCAAGGATGAACTGACTGCATTTTGATTGTCGAAAGTCAAAAGTCAAGGTCACCGTGACCTTGCATCAGTCTCATTCTTGTGAACATGATATTTGAATAACTCCTCAAGGGATGTTTTTAAATGAAATTTTATTTGGCACAAACGTTCCTCTGGACTCAAGGATGAACTGATTACAACTTGGTAATCGAAGATCAAAAGTCAAGGTTACCCTGACCTTGCAGCCGTCTCATTCTTGTGCACCTGATATCTCAAGAACACTTTTAGAAAATCCACTATGGGTCAAGGATGAACCGATAAGATTTTGGTGGTCAAAGGCCAAGATCACTGTGACCTTGGGTCTGTCTAATCCTGTGGACGTGTTATCTCAATAGGGCCTAGAGGGCAGCCAGACCTGTATCCATTAATCTCATGCTGACATGAGCGCAAGCCTCTTGTCCGTGAGTAGATCACAACAAGGTCTGTGGATTATCTTGAGAAACTGGGTCATGATTTCTGGAAAGAGAGAAAAAAGGTTGAGTTTTTTAGATGTACTTTATTGGTGCTTAGAGCACCACAAGCTGAGTGACATCTAGTTCCATTATAGACATCTCCAACACTCGGTAACTCACACCACAGGTGAGAGGAAGAATGTCGTTTTGTGTCGTCGTCCAACACATGAAACGAATATTTCCAAGTTAAAACACCTGAACAGACGCAGATACCAAACAGGGTTAAAGCAGGAATATGAAATTCCTACCTCGACCATTCAGTCTTTAAATGTCAGATTTAACCGTTTCACGCACCTGCTGAGGTCTGATAACCTGCAACCATGCACCTGCCAAGAAGAATATGTTCAGTCCAAATATAACACATGTACACGTTTCAGAGGAATGTGCCTCCATGTTCAGAGTGCGGAGGTGACTCTGGTGCAGAGTCAGACATATGTGCTACATGCTAAGCTAACAGACAGGAGAGTGATGTTGATCTTCTCTTCTGATTCTCTGCAACAACGTGAAGACGCATGTTGTCTTAAAATGTCAATGAGCCCTTTGAATATCTGTTGTCGTCCTCCCTCAGGTATGGCGGCGGTGTTGCCGAGAACCCTGGGTGAGCTGCAGCTCTACCGGATCCTGCAGCGGGCGAACCTGCTCTACTACTACGAGGCCTTCATCCAGCAGGGCGGCGACGACGTGCAGCAGCTGTGCGAGGCCGGGGAGGAGGAGTTCCTGGAGATCATGGCCCTCGTCGGCATGGCCAGCAAGCCGCTGCACGTGCGGCGCCTGCAGAAGGCGCTGCGCGACTGGGTCACCAACCCGGCCATCTTCAACCAGCCGCTCACGTCGCTGCCCGTCTGCAGCATCCCCGTCTACAAGCTCCCCGAGGGCTCGCCCACGCTGCTCAGTGCGCAGGACCGAGCCAACACGGCCAGCGTCAAGATGCCCAAAGCCGTCGCTGCCGCCTGCTCCGACCCGGGGAAGCTGGACGTGGCGCGGGACAAAGTGTCAGCCGGGTCGCCCCTGCAGGGCAGCAGCGAGGCCCGCTTCTGGTCGGGACACAGCAACGACAGCGAGCACAGCCTGTCGCCGTCAGACCTCGGCTCCCCGTCCTCGCCGAGAGACGCGTTAGAGGCTCTGGACGCCGCCGCCGTCCAGTCGGTCCTGGAGTGTGTGGACAGGATGGCACCAGGACTTCCTAAGACAGACTTAGCCGAGGTCAAAGAGCAGCTGAAGAACAACAAGAAACTGGCAAAGATGATCGGACACATCTTTGAAATGAGCGACGATGACTCGCGGCGGGAGGAGGAGATCCGTAAATACAGCGCCATCTACGGACGCTTTGACTCCAAGAGGAGGGACGGCAAACACCTGACGCTGCACGAGGTTGTCCACAAAAAATATCTTGACTTCTTAATGAGTGAATTTGTCTTTGAGGTTTACGTGACGTTCTGATTGTGTGTGTGATGTGCAGCTGACGGTGAACGAGGCGGCGGCCCAGCTCTGTATGAGGGACATGGCGCTGCTGACACGCAGAGACGAGCTGTTCGGACTCGCCCGGCAGATCTCCAGAGAGGTCACGTACAAATACACCTACCGCACCAGCAAGTGAGTAACACTGCTTCTGTCTTTACGCTCACTGTTCATCCTTCAGGAAGACGTTCTGTCTCGTCTTAAATAACGCTGATGTTTCCACGCAGGTCTCGCTGCAGCGACAGAGACGAGCCGTCCCCGAAAAGGATTAAAACAGAGGTAAGGTCAGATTTTGCAAACATTAGTTTTGGTTGAACTAAACAAGCAGTTTGATGCAAACACTTTTGGTTTTCAGGGACATTTTTCGCCCTTTTTTTAGACGAAGCAAAAGTCAAAACCACCTGATAAACTCAGTCAGTGATGTGCAGCTGTGCACCTGTCAGCTTTAAAAGACTTCTCAGCCGTTCCTGCTCACACTGCACGCCCAGCTCTTCCTCTGCTTGTTCCAGAGAAATCAGAAGTTAAACTTAAAAAGCTTCACTTCCTGTGTGAAAGAGCTTCCAGATGACGTTTCTGCACCAGACGTGTGTTCACTCGCTGCTGTTTAAAAGGAGTCAGCGGTTTATTTTTAAAAATATGATACAGACATTTGACCTCTTTACTTATGGCTCCTTATAATAAATAATGAAGCCGTCTCTCACACACTGGTTAATTTTAAATATTTAAGTGTAAAGACGGCGGCAGATGGAGGTCGTCCGTGCGCAGCTATCAGAAACAGAACATGCGCAGCTTTGAACCGAGTACAAAGTGTGTGTATTCATCTCCTGACACACTTGGCTCCGAGAGTTGTCTTTGAGCTCTGAATGGCTCCTCTCAGTTTGTGAGGCGCTGATGGAAAACATGTGGTGGCCCAGAACTCTGCAGGGACTTCAACCACGACGACGAGCTGCAGATGAACCGACACCTGCTCACTAAAGCTACTCTGAGCTCCCAAAAGACGCGGGGAATTCCTGCCAAATTCACTTTCAGGCCGCTGTTCTGCAGAATCTGAAAAACTCCCAAAAATTCCACTTTGTTTTGTCAGTTGTTTTCGTATCAAAGGAAATGAAAATGCTTAGAAAATAAATCCCTGATCTCACGTTACTGTTACTAGTGGGTAGAGTTATTTATTTATGTAATGCTCTTTTTCAATCAGATGCAAAAGAAGAATAATTAAAATCAAATAGATCATGATATTGGACACAATTAGATGCATAAATTAATAAGTAAAAGCAATAAATATAGAGTTAAAATTGATTAAAACAAGATAAAAAAAACAAAATGACTAAGGAAAAAATTAATTTCAGGCAAAAGCAAATTTATTAAATTATTAAAAACTTGTTGAAAAAAAAAGATAAAGACACAAAAAATAAGGTAAAATCACAAGTTTTTTTTCAACAATATCTAAAAAATCAGAAGTTTACTTGTCTGTTTTTTTCTCGACGTCTTTAGGAAAACTTCTTCGACATCCAGGAGGCGCTGCAGGCCATCCACATGAGGCAGGAGATGCTGAGGGAGCAGCTGGCCTGCGCCAAGTCGAAAGGAGAAGAGACCGTCGGGCGAAACCTGCAGGTAGCCCGAAATCCCAAAAATGAGAGAGGGAGTTTCTGGTTCTTGTAAACGAAGCCTTTGGGTTTGAAAAATGAAGCCAATGCGGAAGTGGCTGCATTCTTTCTAATGGCCAGCAGGGGGCGACTCTACTGGCAGCAAAAATACATTAGATTGTACAGAAGTTAATGAGAAAATGATCTGACTTATCACTTGATTCATTTTTTCAAATTTGGCACAAACGTCCACTTGGAATCAACAACGTAATGATTAGAATTTAGGGTCAAAGGCCAAGGTTGTTGTGACCTTGTCTGTCTCATTCTTGTGAACGTGGTATTTGAATAACGCCTCGAGGGCTGTAATATTATTATTATTTTTTATTTGGCACAAACGTTCCTCTGGACTCAAGGATGAACTGACTGCATTTTGGTTGTGGAAGGTCAAAAGTCAAGGTCACCGTGACCTTGCATCAGTCTCATTCTTGTGCACCTGATATGTAGAGAACTCCTTGGGGGAATTGCTTCAAATTTGGCACAAACATCCACTTGGAATCAACAACAAAATGACTAGAGTCAAAGGCTAGTCAAGGTTGTTGTCTGTCTCATTCTTGTGAACATGATATTTGAATAACGCCTCGAGGGATGTTTTTGTATCTCAAGAACACCTTCAGAGAATCCTTGACCTTAGTGAACATTGTCCTGATGAGTTCATGGTCTCAATCTCTAGTTCCAAGTCTTCTTCAGCTCAGCATGACGTTCACTTTGTACTAGATCGTCCCATTAAGAGTAAAATAGACGATAAAGCCGAGGATACTGGCAGCGTCCTCCACCCTCTTAAATATGGGCACTTCTGGCTCCGAAAAACCAAGATGGCGACGGCTCAAATGCCGAACTCGAGGCTTCAGAACTGGAGTCCACAAACCAGTGAGAGACGTCACAGTTGCTATGTCGATTACGTTTATATGACCTGTGTTGGAGGGGCCAGTCGCAGATGGTAACTGTCAGGACAGATGTTATCTTTAACAAGCTAGACAGGACGGCAGAGGAGATACCTGCACATCAATGTGACTGGGCTAGAAAGACATTTATTTTTAAGGTCAAGAAAATTCATGTTGAGTTGCGTTTGATTTCCCACCAGCAACAAAATGCAACAACTTTCATTTCTTTAATTCTGTTTTACTGTAAATAAAGTTTGTGTACTCCGGTCCCAAGCTCTCATCTCTCGTCTCTCGCCCAGTGACAGCGCACAATTTAAAACAAGTCTAAAATAGTTTATTGCTAAAACTCTACGTCATCTTCTCGCCAACAAACATGGCGACAGATCTCCCTGTCAGCAGCTGTTTGTGGCAGCAGGATCCAGTTGGTTCCCAGTCCTGCTCCTTATTGGTTTCCAGTGTTCCTAATTAGAGCCGCAGTGTAGGAGGAGAGCTTTATGATAACTCATTAGCACAAAGACAAGTTCATGTGGACAGTTAGTGGAGAACACATGCTGCTGCTCTTCTTCATGTGTGAACCTCATGTGTGCACACGCTGGTTTTATCAGCCGCCGTGTGTGCAGCTGCAGTTCCACTTGTCAGTTTGATGTGATTCCTCAGAAATCATGTTCAGGAGAAGAAGAAGATTTCATGGCTGCATTCACTCTGCGGGGTCCTGTGAGCCGCTGCTGGTCCCGTAATAATCTGAGCTGACAGTGACGTGCACACTGACAATGAGATGTTTTTATTCCTGCACATTTCTGTGAATCTGAGGTGTCAACTGTTTGTCAGTCTTTGCTTCAGTCGGCCTCCGTGTTAATGCTCGGTGACGGCCACAAGCTGGAGTTACGCTTCTCCAGGCTGCGTGTGAGTGAACGTTAATGGCTTCTTTTATACCTGTTGGAGGTGTGATTTACACTACTGGTGAAAAGTTCTCGTGCCGCAGTAGCTTGACTGTGTACAGTCAGACGTTCATATTTCTGAATAATCTTTTGTGCTCTAAGTTTGTAGAAACGCCAGGTTGCAAGTATGTTATGATGCCTCTGCGTCAGTGACAGCCGTGGCGAAAGGCTTTATGTTTTTAGGTTGTACATCTGCCTGTGTCATTCGTCTCTTGATCTCAAGAACACCTTGGCATTTTTTCAAATTTGGCACAAACGTCCACTTGGAATCATCAACAAAATGATTAGAATTTAGGGTCAAAGGCCAAGGTTGTTGTGACCTTGTCTGTCTCATTCTTGTGAACATGGTATTTGAGTAACGCCTCAAGGGATGTTTTTAAACAAAATTATATGTGGCACAAACGTTCCTCCGGACTCAAGGATGAACTGATTACAATCTGGTTATCGAAGATCAAAAGTCAAGGGTTAAATAAAAATTAAAAAATCGTAGCAACCAGACCAAATCCAAGCGTCTCAGCTGAAATAACGCTGCGCCTCCAAAGCGTGTCACGTTTAGCAAACCACAACGTAAAGAAAACACAGGAGAAGCATGACATTTGTTTGTTGCGGCCATTTTTCTGTTGTGTTGTTATCAGACTAAATTATGATGTCACCCTCACTTCATTAACGTCAGTATCTGAGCTGCTGAGAAGAATCAGGTGTGTGGGTGCTGATTCAAATATTCATCCTGTAAATGTTGCCTACATATATAATTAAATGATCTTTTTTTTTTTTTTTTTTTTACTTCCATCCAATTTAATTTTATTGATCCTCATTAAAGCTGCGAGGGTAAATCTTTCAGCGTGTACATAGAAACCCAGCTGTGTTATGTCTTCCGCAGTTTTCTGCTGATTGATTTTCACTGCAGTTAATTTAGAATGAATAAAGTGTCTTTGAAGTCTTATTTTGGGTTGTTTGTGTTTATCAGATGCAGCTGGAGCGTCTGCTGGCCAGGCAGATGGAGATCCTCCAGGACGCAGCCGTCCAGGAGCGACTCCAGGCTCTGGACTGGAGGATCCCCCCCGCCGCCTTAAAGTACCTCAACGACGCCCAGAACACCAACGGAGCCGTCGCCGACGCCAGCAGAGACAACCAAGGTAGGACATGAACAGACGACGGGGACGAGTTTAAATACTGGTTTTGGGTTTTGCTTTTTCCGTCTGATCCCCGGTCTTTAAAATCCCAGATTTGAAGTATTAATATAGCTCTGGAAACAACGCAACAATCCAAAAAATATATATCTATCACTGTTGTTTTGGGTTGTCCAGGTTTAGTTTGGACGTATTTTTTGCCAAGTTGTATCAGCTCACTGCTCCCTAGAGTCCGATCAAGAGAAGACACCCAGCTGTGGTGACAGGAAATGAAGCGTAGTGCGACCGTCTCATTTGAAGAGTATTTATGTCTTAAAATCCACAGGATGTGTACGCGACTGCGTGGATGGAAACAACACCTATAGGTGCTGATTTTCCACCCGGCCGTGGCAGCTGTCACTTTTTATCTCAAACACAGAAGGAGAGGAAGAGAGAAAAAAAAAAAGCATCATTATTCAAGATCTTCCTTCTCCTCCGGGCCTCATCTCATTTTCATCCCTTTCCTCCCTCACCCACTCCCGACAGCTCATTATATCGCTGTTCCCACAAATCCCACAATGCACCTGTAATTATCACGCCCACGCCTGTTTACCTCCAGCCAGTTGCCTGGAGGGGGGCGTCTCTCTTTCTCTCCGTCTCACTCTCCGTCTACGTCTCTCTGTCCTCCCCCTCTTCTTCTCTCCTTTCCTTCCTCTTTTTCTTCTTCGTGTCCCTTTTCTTTTTTTTCTCCTCCCTGTCATTTGTCATTTCTTCTCTTCTCCTTCTCGTCCTCTGAGTGTCCTAACCTCCTTCCTTCCACACAGTTGTTTATCTCATGCTGTCTTTTCCTGTATCTCTCTCTTAATCACCATTTTCTTCTCGTATTCATTTCCCCCTGCTCTGTATTCCTTCCTCTGTATGCACATTGTTCTGTAGCTCACTACTAAACCTCAAATGAAGAAATATAACGTAATCAATATCAACTGTAGTCTATAACACATTTCAACACGTTTTGCAACTGTGCACAGCTGCTTTTTCTGATGTTTTCTGATTCGATTTGATTCAAAGAATTTTTTAGTTTAACAATTGACGCTGGCAGCTGAGGGTGTCGATCAGAGCGCCAACTTTGATTTCATTTTAACGGCTCTGAAAGTAGAGGTGGTGGTTCGAAGGTTCTTTCTTCCAAAAGAATAACCAGCGGGCCGACCGAACGGTCAGCTGTCACTCCCCCACTCTGTAAGCTCTACTGCTCCGTGTCCGTGGACCACCTGCCGATATTACGAAGTCTGCCACGATACGATTTTGATACGATTTAGAGGCCTGCAATCGAGACAATCTGTCTGTTACAGAAGAAGATGCCACGACCTTCTTTTTCACTTTTGGCCATTAAAGATAAAAACAGCATAAATAGTCACTCTGATTGGCTGTTCAGGTTTTATTTCCTCGCCCCTGTAGCGAGTGAATCTGCCTGTAGTGAAACCGGGGCTAACCGGTGCTTCCTCCTCAGGCTCCACTTCACTCAGCTGCCCCACAGACCCGCTGCTTCTTCACACTTTAACCTGAGTAACAAACCGGAGCTAGCTGGGAGCGGCTAGCAGAGCGTTAGCCGCAGCATGACCGGAGGGAAGCACAGCCAGTTAGCCTCGGCTAGTCTCTGAGCTAGCCCCGGCTCTCCGTTTGGATCCAACCGGAGCACCGAGCCCTGGTTTGTTATTCAGGTTAAAGTGGGAAGAAGCAGCGGGTTTATCGGGCAGCTGAGTGAAGTGGAGCCTGCGGAGGAAACACCGGGACCGTCTGGATGTAATAGTCCGTGGAGGTGCTGCGGTGCTCGGCTGCACAGATAGGAAACCCCTCGGCTGACAGGATGTACCACTCTCTCACTCCGCTCTCTCTCACGCAGGCGCAGAACGTACGTGCTACTTGGCCGTCGGATGTAGTCCGTGTAGTGTGTTCAAATGCAACTGACACAGGGCGACGTGAGGCGACGTAGACGATGCAACAGTTGGCTTTCGTCAGCGCTAGTTCGTTGATGTCAGTTTGGTGTGTCCGCACCTTAAGTCAGTGTGTCACCCGACAGAACAGCACAGCCAGATTTGCAGCCTGTATGCACGTCTTTTCAGCGAAACATTGTTGAAACAGCAGCTAATGTTGCTGTAGTGAGACGTTAGCGACTGGATTCACTTCAGTCTCATTCTGATCGATGATGAATGTAGTACGAGCTGCACCTGAGGCGAGCGAAATGAGAATAACTCTGTTTGTCCTTTGTGTTTCTGTCTGTCCCCTCAGATGAACGACCAATCAACTTGCGCGTGGTTAGTCAGAACATGCAGGAAGGCGACCTCCCGTTGGGCAAGCAGCTAGCCAATGAACTGAAGCGCCATCACAACCACAACAACAACAACAGCAACACAGACGAGACCAAAACACCAGCAACAGGTTAGTGATGTTAAATTTGTCCCGCAGTTGCTACAAGGCTTTATGCTGCATTATCAGCCTCTTTGCTGATGATACCATCCTTTATCTCCAGAAAACGGGACGTCGCAGCGAGCGTCCAGCAACACAGAGAAGAAGACCATCAAGTCAGAGCCGGAAGACTCCACATAGTGCCTCCCGCCTCGCCCTACCACCACCCCCCACTTCATTCTACTCACACTTGACAGTATGCAGTTATTACCCGTCAATAGATACTAAGCAAGCACAGCCACAGTAGAGCCTTAACAACCAATGTTGCCTCATGAATAGCATTTATTTTTCTTCTTTCTCTGTCTTTTTGTTCTTTTGTTTAAACGGTATTTGCCAAAGCACCTCGAGAGCATGACGAGAAGCCCCTCAGTGCTCCGCAGGTCTTTGTCTGTTGATTAATTGTACACGTTAGATGTACATGTAATTTAAGAGTGATCTGTTTGTATACTCTTTACCTCTTCCTGGGTGTTTTGTTTGTTGCTTTCTTTGGACAGCCAGGTTGCGGGCTGTGACGCCGGGGCTGAGTCTTAACTCAAAGGTAGATTCAGAGATGAGACAGAAGCAGAAAGGTTGGCTGTGTTGCTGCACGTCATCAGCATCTTGGTAACACTTTATATGACTACCATGTAGCCAAAATTTTAAGGCCTTCGTCAAAAAGCCGCAGAAGCTGCCAATATTAAATCTAAAATTGTATTGCCAAACAAGCAGTGGTACTCTAAACATGTCTTACTTTGGTCCTGAAATATCTTGATAAATATTTGACAGATTGGTACGAAGTTTGGTTTTGGACATTCCTCAAAACTTTGGCGATGCTCTTGATGTAGCGCCATCTGCAAGTCATTCATAATGAAGCAGTGAAATATCTCAACGTTTCCTGAGTAGAGTAGTAGTGGTTTGCTGCCTCTGTCAAGTAGCTGTCTGTTAGTCACTCACTCTACAGCAGGAAATGGCGCTTCACTGTACTTCAGAATAAAGTGTGAAAAAACTTGACACGTTTGAGAGTCACTTGCGGCCCATTCAGAATGGATCTGCGACCCACTTTTGGACCGCAGCCCACCAGTTGGGAACTGCAGCCTTCAGGTTTTATGTGGCGCCCTCATCAAGTCAGAACGTATTGGTCCAGTAATTTGGTTTATGACCAAATACCTGCAGAACTACGAACAATAGCTAGCATGCTAACTATGATGGTGACCATAGCAAACATTACTAGCTAATCATTAGCATTTAGCTTGAAAGCAATGCAAGTGCAGTCTAGCAGATCATTTTCATAATCGAAAGACGAATTACAGTTATTTTGGGGTTGGCAGCTCTGCAAGGTCATCGAATCAATATTACCCTAATGCTAATAGTAAACAGTATAGATTAAACTTGTGATAAAGTAAACATAAGTACTTATTAGGGCTGCACAATACATCATTTTTCAGTCGTCATTGTGATGTCAACTTGAGCAATAAACACATTGCTAAAGACTACGATATAGCACTTTGAATTTACTAACAACGTTAGTAATACAACGTTAAAATACATTATATCGTTAGGCGCTATTTTGTCTGATACTAGCCATGCAGTTAACTCTCGGGCCAATCACAAAGAGTCCTCACCATTAGGCGTCATAATTCTGTACACGCGACTTACCGCAAAGGTAAAACACCTACTGGAGTTCTTATTGTCACCGATTCGCCTTTCCCGCCCTTGGAAGTGTCCCACCATCTGCTGGTTCGTCCGAGCCTTATTGAAAGCCGTTGTTTATTTCGGACTTTAAACCGCAGACGCACTCAGGGTGCTTTCAGACATAGAGATGGTTCGTGTTCTCACGGCAGCATTTACAAGAGGACCAGATCAAATGCCTTGTGTGAGAAAGCTGCTCTTGATTGGTCAGAATTTCCATGTGGGAAAAATCCAGGAAGTAAAGCAAACGTTGAAGAAGAGTACACTTGCAAGATAAATGTGACACTTTCTAATGTCACAATGGAGGGACAACTACGCAGGTTGATTTTAGCGCTGCTCATCGTGGACTATATTGCTGTCATTGTTCATTTTAGTCAAACCAAACAGTTTGAAAACGAGGCGCGGCTCCAACTAGAAAACAATGTTTTGATGCATTGGATGTGCTGAATGTGCATATTAAGGCAGTAAAGGAGGAGGTGCACATTAATAATCCTCCAGGACTGTAACATGCTCATGTTTAACCCAAACAATGTGTCATGTGACTGCAGTTGCTTCACATCCAGGTCGGAACACCTTCTCACCACAAACCAACCGCACCAGAGTTCCTTTGGAACCGGACTGAGACAACCTCTTCAAGAAGGTCTCAGTACGGTTGTTTTGGTGTGTTCACACCTGCACAAATGAACCGCACTGAGGGGACAAACAAACTTAACTTTGATTGAACCGAACCAAACAAGGCAGGTGTGAAGACTTCTTGCCTTCTCCGGTTGATTTTGTGAGCGTTCTTATGTGAGCACTCTGTTAAACAAACGTACGCCAAACCTGTTGAAACGTTAAGATTTATCAGGAAAAGACAAGCAATTCTTTGTAAGCTCAGACATTAAGCACCCCCGTATAGCCACGATGGAACAGTCCTTTGTTTCATATCAGCATTTTCCTTCAACTGTGACAATTCGACTGAGATCGGCGGTCAAATCAGGCTCCGTAGATCGAATCGTCCACTGTTCTTGGTCACCCCTTCAGGAGAGACAACATTTTAGCATGGTGTCCTCATATTGTGCAGCTCTAAATCTTAATGGTAGACATACAAAGCGTTACCTACAAATGAGATCTTTGGTCAGTGGCGTCATTTTTCGTCAGCATCCAGAAAGTCACTCCATGACCGTGACTTTACAACTCATCTCCTGTAAGACGTTCAAACCTACCAGCACTAGCCAAAGATTCAGCAACACTCGGCTGCTGGCCGTCGCCCCACGTCTTCTGAGCCTCCGTCATTCTCCCAAATCTAACTTAGGGTGTCTGCATTTGTACTGTAACTCAGAGGTGTAAAAAAAAAAAAGTACTGTAGGGAGATGGAGTCAGGACTCAGCCCCTTCAGCAGGTTTTCCTTTTTTCTTTACTTTGTCGTTGACTTCAAATGGGAAACCAGGAGAGGTGGGGTTAATCCTTCCCTCCGCGCTCTTGTCTTGTGTATATTTATGGAAGGTAATTTAAGAAGAGGATGTATAGGAGCTGTTGTGGAGAAACAGCAGGGGACCTCTGTCATTCGTCTTGGTAGGATGGCTGGGCTGGCATGCCGGAGGCCGAGCTAATTGGTTCATTTCACTTTGTAATTTAGCTAAACACTGCATGCTGGAGCGAAACCACGCATCTGCAAACGGGGAGTATTTCAGGACTAAAGATGTGGTTTTTCAGCAGCTTTTTGGAGACAGAATCAAATATTAAAGATTGCAGGTGTGTGGTTTTTTTTTTTTTATTTCTCTCCAGCTGCAGCCAAAAGCAAAATTTCCTGTTTATTGCTGCTCTTTGCGGAGCAGCAGCCTGGGGTCTGTACATAGTACCGTGATAACAAATAGTGCTAGCCTAATCTCTCAACCAGGGTTTGTCAAGTGTAACTTTGCTGTAGATTTTTGGTGTCAATACGGTGTTTATGTGTGTAGAGCAAAAACAACAACAAAAAAAAAACAACTTAAGTGTCACTGAGGAAAAAAAAACAACCGTGTGAAAGTGTCTGGTATATAAACACATGCTTTACATGATGATAATGTTGATTAGCCTTAGCTCTTAACAGTGTTTAACCCCCCTGTGATGGCCATCAGTGCATATTTCAAAGACGTGTTCTTGCTGTTTAGAGGTAGATACATAACAATAAGTGTTCACTGTGTTTTTCTGTGTTGGCCACACTGTGTAAATACGTCTGTTTGGTCCCAGATGATAATAACGTCCAGACAATTTGGTCTAACTCTTCTTTCCTTCCCCCCCTTCGTCCCTGCAGATAGTTTAGTCTCACTCAGCGTAATGGCAGACCAATGCAATATTTATGTAAGTAATAAGTCTATTTGCATACTCTATGGATCCATCATTGTGTCATGTGCTCGGTAACTGTACGTCTGTCATGACCTTCAGGGTGGGAACTCACCTGCGACGTGGGAGATATTTGTGTTGCCTCACTTCTGGTGGGGCTGTATTTGTATTTAAAGACATTGTGCTCTGTTCATCAAATTCCTTTTGTTTCAAGGAGCTGTTTGGGCAAGGAGCTGCCGCTGTGGGACAGAAGTTCACGTACACTTGTAGAGAACACGTAGGTAACGGCAGGCTTGGGTTTCCGATAATTTTGGGCGCCTGCTGTGCAGCAGAAGGTACGCTTTTTTCCTGCATATTCATAATCTTCCACCACATCTTCGGGATGCTATTCATCCGGCAGCGCTGCCAAAACATTCGTTAAAACAACATCGGAATGATCGGAAATGATGTGCTTTGACTTTAAAGTCATTTTCACAAAATTCCCCAAAAAACTGCGGTAAATTTCCCGTTGAAAATAATGGGGAATCGCCATGAACAGAGGTCAGAACCACTCTACTTTGGGGGCACACCAAATCGCCGTACTTTGACGTAGTTATATACCGAACTCCTCGAGTTGAAAAAGCGCCCAACGCCATCTTTTTTTCGTCGTCTTTTTTCCCATTATCCAATGGGATGATTTGAGGAGATACTGGTGGTAGCAGTTGCTGGATACCCAGAGCTATACGGCCCGATGATAGACAGTGGGTCGTCAAACTGCCCCAGAGTCATCCTAAAATATACCTGGAAACATCCGTCTTGGAGGAGAAGCTTCTGGACCAACTGGTGGTACTCGCCATTGGACTTTATCGGGCCTAGTGGGCATTTTGATAACTGGTACCACTTCAAAGAAATCAAAGTTTACATTTCATGTTTTTTTAAGCAGTAGCAGGCATCTGGTCAAAATGTCTTGCGGGATTTTCTAGTTTCTTTAAGTGAAAAACACAAAAAAATCCCTTCTATGAATTTATTATGGATCTCCTGAAAGCGCGAGCAACTCTACCACAACTCTAATATAGTTTCAGCCACAAGCACGACAGTTGGAAAGTCTAAGGAGCTCAGCGTGGATCTGGAAAAGTGAATCATTGACTTAAACATGTCAGGACAGTCACTGAGAGACATTTCAAAGCAGCTACGTCCCAAGATCAATGTCACTGCCACGATCAGGAAGAGTCAAGCTATCGCCTGCAGCTGAGAGGAAACTGGTCAGGGTGATTAAGAGTCGTCCAAGAACCACTTAAACGCAGGTCTACGATGAGTTAGAGGCAGCAGGAGCACAGGTTTCAGCGCCCACAGTTGAGTGTGTTTTACATCACCATGCAAGGAGGAAGTTTGGCTCCAGAAGCGGCACATTAAAGGCCCTGATGCACCAAGCCGACAGTCGGCCATCAGTCAGTGTTAGTTGTCAGTGAGCGTCTGTTGCCCCTCGTCAGCCCCTGTAGTAAACACATGGGTTTTTTTTTTTGGCCGATTCACTATTGCGAATCGGCATCGGCAATTCAGCTCAGCGCATGTGAAGACAAACAGAAGTGAGGAAAGTAAACAAAGAGCTAAAGCCAAGAGGGAGTGAGACCAAAACAGACTTGTCAGATAAGGTAAGATTCATTTTCTTTAGTCACTGAGCTCTTTAAACGTTTCCTGATGGTTTGTGTTGTTGTTCACTGCCGCACGGTAAATACGCTCTTTTTTCTTTCAACACTGGGCTGTGTTGCTAACGTGCTAACTGGCTAACTAGCACCAAGACGCGGTCTCCCGGTAATACAGACTGTCGCCGTCTGCCTGTGTGAAGAGTAACTTCTTGTCATGCAGGCGCAGAACGTACGTACGAACTAGCTGGCTGTCAGCTGTAGTCTTTGCGGTGTGTTCATGTGCAACTATTTGGCTGAGACACGACGATGTGGGGCGCCGCTAGTTCTTTGAAGTCGGTTTGGTGTGTCTGGGCCTCAAAGGCTGGACTAAAGTTGGCTGCGGATCACATTTTGGAGGAAAGTTCAGGGGTTAGATGAAACAAAAATCGAGCTATTTGGCTTCAGTGACCAGAGATTTGTTCGGACGATAAAGAGTGAGGCCTTTAACCCAAGACCATCATACCTTTAGTTGAGCATGGTGGTGGTCGTGTTATGCTCTGGGCCTGTTTTAGCATTGCCGTAAGTATGTTTTTAACTCAGAAAACCCATCGTAAATACACAAAAGACCCAATTTTGGTGTTTTTTTACACTGACGAATACGAGTCATAGAAATAATTGGAAACCCAAGACTGCCGTGACTTCCGCCCACAGCTGCAGCGAGGATTTGGAGTTTGCAAAACTAGCTGGTGAATTCTGGGAGATAACGCCGTCGAGGTTTGGGGACAAGATGACCTTTTGTCTCCGGCCCCGCTCGGCTCAAACACTGTCCTAGTTAGTGTGACTGTTGTACGATGTTTCAGAGAATAGCGCATGTCTGACCTGCCGTCTCACTGATCACCGTTCTCCTCACTGTTTATTGTAAAGTGATAGATTAGGCTTCACCTAGTTATGCACCTGTTTTTTAAACACTAATATATTTTATTTGTTATACAGCACATAAACATTAAACTTTATTTTTTTGAACTCTATTGTGAGGTGCGTTCTGTGATCAATGCTCAGAAACAAACGGGGGAATCTGAAGGTTGTGCCGGGGTTAAAACTTCCAACCAGTTCAGTGTGAAGCTGAACGCTGCATCAGACGCTGAATTCTAACAGGTGTCCCACTTGACTCAGCAGCTCCTGTGTTCAACGATGTTAAATTACTGTTTTTCTCAATGGAGTCTGGCTGTGAAGAGAGCGACAGAACAGCTTGTTGGAAATCACTGACGGAACGGT